ACATTGTAAAACAACACTAGTTCTAAAAAATCCGCAAAACGGAAAACGCCGAACCACTACAAGAACAACCCGAGCTGGGAGGTTTTTATTTTCGTCTCGGGTTTCCCTCTGAAAAACAAAAAACGAAAGAAGAACCAGAGCCCGAAAGTCACTCGGGTGGGTCCGGGTGGGTTTTCTGAAGTAGTACTGGTTTTAACCATGGGGCCCCAGAACACCAGAAACAAAACATTTAAAACAAACTAATGTGGGAGGGTTTCTGAGGTTTCCCACCCGGGAGAACCATAGAAAAACAGATCAACTCCCGAGCACCCCCCGAGTTGGGAGGTCTCGAACCGCCGTCTGAAATCGTTTAGTTTTTAATTGTGGGGGCCCCGAAACCAGGGAAACCTCAAAAACAGAAGACACACTCAGAGTTGGGATGGGTTTTTCAAAGATTCCCCTCCCGGGAAAATCCCAGGAAAAAAAACTGAGTTGGGTCTTTTTGGGGGTGTTTCCCGAGTGGTTTCCTCAAAGTGTATTGTGTTTAATTGTAGGGCCCCAGAGCAATCGAAAAACCACCGAACAAACTCAGAATTTGATTTTTTTGTCTGGCCCCCGCCCCCGTCGAAAACTTCAGAAAAACAACGAGGAAACCTCAGGAAACAAAAACAGACCCGAACCGCAGCACAACCACCGAAAAACGATCGAGTTGGGTTTTTCTGCCCCCCCCCCTCCCCCGCCGGGAAAACACAATAAAACTCATGCGAAATAACTTAAGGAGTTGGGAGGTTTTTCGGTGGCTTCCCCCGTTGGGATAACAACGAAAACTAATAGGACAACATCCGAGCTGTTTCCCGGAAGGATTTTTGAAATAGTTATGTTTCTGATTGTGGGGCCCCAGAACCACAGAACAAACTACAGGGAAACTCCCGAGTTGGGGGATTTGTCGGGGGTTTCCCTCCTGGGGAAACACAAACAACACCAGAAAACAAAACCCAAGAGAGAACGCAGAACAAATAACGGAATTGGCGGTCGAGTGTTTCCTGGGGGGGGTTTCTGACATAGTATTGTGTTTAATCGTGGGGCCCCAGAACCCCCGAACAACAACCGAAAAATGATCCAGTTGTTTTTGTTCCGAGGGGTCGCCCCCCGTGGAGAATTCAAGAACAATATAAGAAAAACTCCCGAGTCCCTGCCGGCCGAAAGGTACCCCGGCAAGGTCCAGGCAAGTCCGCCTCAGAGATGGTTTTGCTCCTGAGCGCGGCCTCAGGGCCTCTCAGAAAGCCTCAAGGGCCAAGATGCCCCAAAGAGGTCGCCAAGATAATCCCAGAGGGCTCCGAGACGCCACAAGATCGCTAAAAGACGCCCAAGATTGCCTTAAGACAGCCCAAGAAGCCTCCCAGACGCCCCGAAAAGCCTTTAAAAGCATTCCCAAAAATGCCCTCCCCAAAGTAAAACACTTACATGTGCCTTGCATGTTTCGATGATCTTGTCGTTCTCGTATTTTCAGCTTCTCGACGCGCCAAGACTGGCCAAGAGGCCCACAATCTCTCCCCAAAACGGCCCAAGATGCCTCTGATAACGCCCTGACACGGCCCAAGCGGGCGCTAAGACGGCCCTGGAGGCCTACAAGATCGCCACAACGCGGCCCAAGAGGCCTCCAAGAGGGCCCTAGAACGGCCCCAGGGGGCCCTAAGACAGCCCGAGAGGCTTCCAGGACGGCCCAAGAGGCCCCCAAGACGGCTCCGAGAGCGGGCATTGACGGGGGTCCCGAACGGTCATTTCGAGATCTCGGCCCCGAGAGGCCCCAAGGAGGCCCCAAGAGGCCCACAAGAGGCGAGGCCCCAACAGGGCCCCAAGAGGCCCCAAGAGGCCACCAAGAGGCCCCAAGAGGCCCCATGATACCATAAAAAAACCACGAGTCCCCCGATAGTCCCCCCCAAGAGATCCCAAGCAGCCTCCCAAAGAGGCTTTTTTTCCACGACAAGTTTGGCCCCAAAATGCCACAAGAAGCCATCGAGAGGCCTCCTCGTTTGCATCCTCATTCCCCCCTCTTCCTCCTCCTTCTCCTCCTCCTCCTCCTTCTCCTCCTCGTCCTCCTCCTAATCATCATCATCATCATCATCATCATCATCATCATCATCATCATCATCATCATCATCATCATCATCATCATCATCATCATCATCATCATCATCATCATCATCATCATCATCATCATCATCATCATCATCATCATCATCAGCATCATCATCATCATCATCATCATCATCATCATCATCATCATCATCATCATCATCATCATCATCATCAGCATCATCATCATCATCATCATCATCATCATCATCATCATCATCATCATCATCATCATCATCATCCCCCTCCTCCCCTCCTCCTCCTCCTCGCTCGCATGAGCACACAAACATATAGCACCACTGATCGCAATATGGGCCAGCGGAATGAGCGAAGCGATTTAATAACGAGATGAAGTTGAAACACCGAAGGGGAGGCGAAGGGGGACGGGACGATCTGCTTGGGTCAAGAAGGTCTGGGGCGACAAGCAGTTCGCGCCCGCTAAGGTAAGCCGAGCGGGCGGCGCGTCCCAGGCCCAAATCCGTGCTGGCTGCAAGTCCACGAGGGAACTGCCGCTGAGCTAACGAAGCGGCGCGGATGCAGTCAAAGCCTCTGCAAACACAAAGGCAGGAGAGTCGGGCCCAGGTCTGAGCGTAAACAATCAAAACTGATAGTCCGAATGGTGGACCGAAGAGGCAAGGATGCAACGGAACCCTTGGGAAGGTTACCCATCCTTGCCATCGGTTTCGACTGTACCTCGGGAGCAAGCAGGTGGGAGGCGATGAGAAAAGGAGCGCCGAAAACGGACAGGACCTGTCGTCTCGGGCAGGGCGACAAGGACCTGCACCTGTTCGGGCAGTCGTTCCTCAAAGAAACTCGCAAGAACGAGCTCATGAGAACGTACGGCAAGGACAATACCAGAGTCCACGATGACCATCGGCGAGCTGGAGCAATGGTCCGATCGCTCTAGAAGACGGGCGGATAAGGAGCCTGAACTGACGATGCGGAGACTGGGATCGGAAAACCTCCAAGGACTGGAGCACTGCGGATTGTATCTGGACGTGCTCCCAGACGTCTGCAAGAAGGATACCGCTCAGAAGCGGAAGGGTGATCACGCCGCGAGACACCCCGAGGAAATTTCGCACAGAATCGAAGGCGACCGACCATGAGCTAAGCGGGAGCTGATGTCCAACAAGGCCCACGAGTCAGAGCCGATGATCCCGCGGGACGGAGTCTACACAGCACCTTGCCCCAGCAGCTTCGCGGCGAGCTTCGCCAGGAGGCTGCTGCTTTCCGAAGTAAGGCGCTGAGGATGAGTGGGCTGTGACCGACGAGCGCGATCCTGTTCCAAAGCATGCTTGACATTCCTGGGACTGAGGAGCTCGAAAAGGCGTGGTCGGACACTGAAGACTCCCAGGAGCTCCTGGGGCCATCGGGAGCGCCCAACCTTTGCTGGTGGAGATGGTAAACACCTACATGGCCGGTTCGAAAGAATGCTCTCGAAGAGCCGCGAATCCGAGGAGAAGGAGGAGAAGGCCTCCCTCACGGAACGAAACATTTCGATCTGCCAAACGGAGCTTGGGCGTGCCCGGAGTGCCACGTCATAGCGCTCGAATGGAAGTCCTTCGTGAAGGCGCACGCGGAGGAACGCCAAGGGGGCAAGGTGGTTGAAACAAACCTTCTGCCAGAACGGCAGAGTGAGCGGATGGAGAAGCATGACTCAGCCCAAGCTCGAGCACAGCACCAATCACAACCGAGTGGATGAGTTCCGACCGCCCACCCGCACTTTGCAACCTGCAACTCCGCATTCAGACCCAGATGCTTCCAACGCCAGAGGAGGCGACCCGGATAGAGTTGCGCCCGACTGCGCTTTGGATGCAACCCGATTCTCGATGAAAGCGGCGCTGACGAGTCGGAGCAGGAAAGTGGAAGCTGCCCCCAGTCTAGTCTACGCTGCTGAGGGCTAGCGAAGGCGGGGAACGCGCGGTGGGAGAATGCGCAGATATCCAGGGATGGCTTAACGAACATGGCCCTTCGCATTCGAGAATGAGGATGCGGATTCTTAGGGCTCCTTCAGCACGGGCGCTGGGGCAAGATGCCCAGCAACTCGCCCCCGCCGCGCCGGGAAGGCACGACCGACGAGATCGGGCGCGTGCTGGCGCAGGCAGTGGCGAAGGAGAAGATAGAGCTCCTCCGAGGACGGACAGCGGACGAGGCCTACAGATCTGAGTGGTGTGAGTGTTGTAATCTGGGTCAACTATAGAGGCACCCGCCTAGAAGACCAGGGGTCGGTCCCACGGTCGGGCAGATAGAGAGGCAACGCCACGGGAGAGGACGCAACGGCGGGGCGAGAACTCGCAGGGAATTGGTACAGGAGCCCAGACGCCCATGGGGAATTCCTGGGAGGGACATCGAGCCTCGAGCCATGCTGGATGGCTGGCTGCCGCGGTTGCAGGCACAGTGGCGACTGTGCTGCTGGAGCCCCAGACAACGAACTTCCGCAGACGTGATGCTGCTGATAGTTGCGCTGCTCGCTTACGGGACCAGAGTGGCCGCCTGGTCTCTGCGCGCAGGAAGACCCAAGGCTCGGCTGAAGAAGTGACGTCGAAGATGGAACCAGCGGCCCAGAATCTGGTCCGAAGCCTGGAGTACATCGCGATCCAGATGAGGGGAATCCCAGAGCTTGCGGAGGACGGCTGAGAGCACTCAAACATAGCTCCGTGAGTAAGGGTGAAACCGAGAGGCCTGCGCCGTGGTGCGAAACGAGGTAGCGCCGCCGGGTCGAGAGGACGGACTCGACCCCAATGACGTCCGAGTCTAGGGGCGGGGCCCTTTCTGGAACGGCAACGAGAAGCCTGGATCAAGCGATCCGCTGGAGGAGCACATGGTTCATTGGCTTTTCCACAAGGCAGGGGGCAACGGTGGTTCGCCGCAGGCGTCTTCGATAGCGAACGTTGAAAAGACGCTCCAACTCCAATACACAAAGAACACGGCCGTTGCGCCCGACGGCAATGCTTGCGTCGTGTCCAGCATGCACAGCGATCACGGCGCCGGAACCATGTAGCTGTAAGTCATGGAACACTGCGTCGTGCAACCTGGCTCCAGACTCAAAAGGTAGGGCCGTGATATCGGTGCCGCCCGCCTCCAACCGTGCGTCCATTTCGGCTTCTCGCATACGCTCTTCGAATATGTCCGTGGGGCAGAGCCGTTGGCAGCCTTGGATCTCGATTCCGTGAGACATGGAATAGTTGCGCGCGATCGAACGCACATCAGCATAACCCATTGTCCATATGAGAGGTGGTAAGTTTCCCAAGTCCAGAGCGAAGCCGTACCGAGTTGGAATCACCATGCCATTTACATCCAATGACAATTCTCGAGCAGCGTCTATGTTTTGAAACGCAACTGACAAGTAGCACGCGACACGTGCGCACCTCATCCAAACATAGAAAGACAACGCACTGGCGATGAAGCCAAGAGGACCTGGAAACGGCCTCCAGTCAGACTGCCTTGAGCTCAAAGGCTGTAGAGGCACGCAGTGCGGGATGGAGGGGCAACATGGCAGGGCTGGACCTAAACGCTGTTTTCTTTTTGGTTTCGTGTTGTTCTTCGGTTTGCTCTACCCGTTGTCCTGTACCTCCCGGCCAAACCGAACAAAACACAGCCGAAGTCCAGCACAACAGCGTTTAGGTCCAGCACTGTAACATGGGGGCACCGGGGAGGAGAACAAGGATGCAGTGTTCCAGTTGACCGAGAGTTGGCCCCAATTGGCCGAGTGTTGGCTCAACTTGGCCCGAATACTATCTCGGTGGACCCAAAGTTGGCTTTAAAAAAACGTCGACACCACCCAAAGGGATCCGAAGTCGCCAGGGTGAACCGTGAGACTCCCCCCGCCCCCGATGGGCCCCACCGCCGTCTCTTGGGCCGTCTTGGGCCGTCGAAGGTTTCCCGAGCCGTCTTGGGACTCCCTCGGGCAATCTTGAGCCTCTGTATACAGATTACAGGAGTCGTCTTCAGCAGCAAAAGCTGATGAGGCCAATAATGCAGAAAAAGAACTTCATCTCGTGTACAGTCATCTCTGAGGGCCTCTTGGGTAATTCCTGGGGGATCTCTGAATGCATATTGGCGTTTCCTACGATGTCTGGGAAGCCTCAACGGCCCTCTTGGGACATCTTCGGGTGGTTGGAAAGCTGCCGCCAGCCTCCGCTCGACACTGCCAGGATTTGCCAGGATTGGATCAGCAACCCACTTCCCTGGGGGGCGCCGATCCTGCTGACGCCCCACCAGGCGCGCGGCATCACGGCGAAATTGGGCCCTGAGGCGAGCCCCCCCGATTCCCATCCGCCTTGCGTCGGCGCCTTTCGCAAACATAGACGCAGTATCGACCTTGACGATCACGCGTGAAGTGGATCAGCGCATGTCGGCCTGAAACACCTCGCCTGCCTTGGCGGCTGGCCTAGGGGGTCTGTGATTTGCGGGGGCCCGCTTTCCCCTGTTTCACTGGACTGACATGCTGACCGGCAGCGCCGGCGTTTGGGCCCAAGCAAAAGGAACGCCTATCCCCCAGAGCAGTAGCAGCAGGATATTGGCTGTGATAGCAGGGCATCGGTCGATTCGATCGACTTCTCCGAACTGAACCCACCTCGACACGCTGAGGCTGATCGAGGGAGGGAGCATGAGCGAGAACGAGGTTGGTAGCAGAGCTCCGTGGTTGGCCCCACGGACTCCAGGAGAGATTGGAGGGATTCGCCATCCCGACGAGCCATGGCGAGTGGGGACACCTACAACAGTGCTGCGGATCCGAAGATACCGGAGCTGAAGGGCGAGACTCTGAAGGACTTCGCCAGGTACAAGAGGGCAGTGCAGGCGGCCGAGCTCGGATGTGAGTCCAAGGAGCAGCGCACCTCCCTAGGGCCGAAGCTGTATCGAAACCTCCTTGGCGCGGACGACTCGATCAGCGCCCTGATCGAGCAGACGGATCCGAGAGACTATGCAATCGTGGATGGCGCGGAAGTGTTGCTCAAGTTCCTAGAGACCGAACGCTTCGCGAAGAGCAGTTTCCGCGAGTTTCCGAAGGCCTTCGACGCGTTCTTCGACCTGACTCACCTCGAGAGGAAGGGCGAGGAGCCAATGGCAGCATTCTGCACGGCCATGGAGGTGGCAAGACGGAACCTGGAGGAGGTGAACCCGGATACGATGATCTCTTCGAATGAGCTAGGGCACCACACTCTGAAGCGCAGCGGTCTGGACAAGGACGAGCGCAACCTGGTGGTCGCGAGGGCGGGCGAGACTTTCAATGTCATGAAGATTTCGACGACGCTGAATGACCTCTTCCCTCGCTGCGGTAGCAGGCACCGAGGACATGGTACAAGGACGGGCTGGAAGTGGACGGTGCACTCGCACGACGTCAAGACTGGACAAGCAGACGAAGAAGACCCGCACAACGGTGAGTACTGGGCCTAGGACGACGACGGGTACTGGTACGACTGGGACGACGATCGCGGAGTCTATGCGTGCACGGACGAAGACGAGCAGGGCGATTGGGACAGCAGCTGCCTGTTCTACCTCGAGGACGACGCCGACGCGTTCCTGGCTGGAGATGACGACGACTATCACTAGACCCAGGTTGCGATGCGAGAGGGCCGCCTTAAGATGAACAAACTACGGTCGGGGAGGGGATTCTTCAAGGAAAGATCGACGGCGTTATGGGCGAGTGCGAAATCCGGCGGCCAAGTGGCTGGCAAGAGCCCCGGAGAAGGAAAAGGCAAGGGCAAGGACGGCGGCAAGTCGAAGGACAAGCGCTGCGGCAGGTGCGGCCGGATGGACCGCCACGCCTCGGAGTGCCCGGCCAGCGGGCCATGAGGGAAGCCAGCCAAGGGCAAGGGCCGCGGCAAAGGGTCGAAGTCAGCCCCTCGTCCACGACGGCTTGGCTTCTGGGCAATGAGCGCTCTGGCGTGTGTAGCGCTTTCCTGTGTGGACGTCCGACACCAGATGCGAGGCCGAGACCTCGCCTACATCTACACGCCCGAGAAGGATTACGACATCATGATGGTGAATATGGACAGCGATCCGATCGTGCCGGGCAGGCCAGAGTTCGAGTTGATGATCTCAAGCGACGTCGTGCCGGCTTCCATGGTGGATATCGGGGCCTCGATTGCAGTGGCAGGACGCGGATGGCTTGACCGCGTCGAGGCAGAGCTCGCGAAGTATGGTCTCGAGCCCATCAAGATGGAGGCCCACCAGAAGTTCAAGGGACTTGGCGGAGTACGACGTGAATCAAAGCAGAAGTGGATCATCCCGGTCAGCATCGGGAGGAAGCATGTGCTGCAGGAGTACTTCGAGATCCCTGGCGACATGGTCAGCCTGACGAGCAGGAAGGACCTCGCCGAGTGGAAGACGGTCCTCTACATGCGCGAGGGCGGCCAGTGGGCGGACTTCCAGGAGCTCGGGGTGCATGGCAAGGAGCTGGCGAAGCTACCTGGTGGACATGCAGGCCTCGACCTCTTCGACTACGACCTCGAGGCGTACGAGACGGAGCCCCTCTTCGAGAGGTTCTGCGTGGGCGAGACGCAGCTCGAGCCGGGCGCGTTCTTGGTCGCGGAGACGCTGCAGGAGTTCGAGCCGGGCTTCCAGGTGAAGGAACACGCCGGCTCGTGGGTCGCAGAGGCTCTGACGAACGGCAGCAAGGGCAGATCTAAGAAGGGCGCGCTCAAACGGATCGACAAGCTAATGAAGGAACATTCGGTCATTTTCGACGTACTGCGCGACAGCCAGGAGACCTCCGAGTTGTTTGCGAAGGAGGCTCGCTTTACTCGCGTAGCCTCGGAGGGTGGTCATGCGAACGCGACCCCCTCAGATTTGTCGGTCGGGGTTAACTTCGACGACCCCCAGACCCAATCGGATTTCCTGTTCCTGATAAAGACCATCGAGGCCTGGATGGTCTCGGTCGCGTTCCCACGCGCACCTTTCTCGAACACGCAAGAGTTTCAGCGTGCTCAAGGCATGGGCGACCGGGTGGACGATCTAATCGAGGAGTTCAGGCCGCTGGTTGTTTTGTTCGGCCAAGGTGCTTCGGACTGAGGCTGAAGGCGGACGTATCGGCATCGGCGAGAGCCCTCTCACGAGCCGCGCTCGGAACGAGGAGCCGATCATGGATTTGTTGCTTTGGCAAGGTGAGCGACCTCCAGTGTGCGAGATGGTCACGCTACACCAGTGCATGGTTGGACTGACGGATGACTATAGTATACGAGACACGGATTCGGAAGGCCACGCGCATGTTGGTGCCCAACGGCTCATGCTTCTCGTGGTGGCTCGACCGCACGTGTGACAAGAGCCACGAGCGCGCCGACACGGTCGGACGAGGCACTCTACTCTCGCGGGCCAGTGCCTGCCCGGGCGACCTGGGCAATACCCTGGTGAGTGCTGGCGCGCGCGAGCTAGCGCGGCGCACCGACCTGAAGAAACTGGGTATCGGAGACGGTGTGACGAAGGTCCCGGACCAGGAAACCATGCGCACGGTGGCCAAGGAGTTGAAGCTAAGGAAGGACCTAATCGACGTACGCGTGCTGAGGCAGAGCGAGGCTGTTCCCCTGCCTCGCGGAGCCGTGCGGCGCATCTATGCCATGTTCACCGACAAGGGCGTGCTAGCCGACTTCTCCGACGCCTACGCGGACGACCCGAACTTCACTACGGCCGAGCTATCCACGAGGTACCCTACCGACACGGTGGTCGCGATCTACGCGAAGGAGCCGAAGGTCCAGACTTCCCTCCCTGCGACGGTACTCTTGCTCGGCAGCCGACCAGAAGCATTCGAACCAGACGATCGTGAAGCAGACGCAGTACATCGAGGTCTACATCGCGGCTCAGTGGGGCTCTAAGGAAGCTCCACCTGAACCTGAGTCGCCCATCGGCTCACGCTCTGAAGTGACGCCTGAAGTCCTACGGGGTGTCGCAGAATGTGCTCGACGCGGTGGACAAGCTGGACTGCGTCGTGTGCAAGGAGCTCGGCAGGCCCAACACTATGAGGTCGGCGAACCTGAAGCTCTCGACGGAGTTCAACGAGAGCGTGTTTCTGGACGAAACCGAAGTGATTCTCTCAGAAAAGACACGGTTGATGGTGATGGTGATCCTGGATGACGCGTCGATCCTGATGAAGCCGGGGCGATCGACTTCTTCAAGGGCGATTTCCAGCGCCTGCACAGCGATGTGCGGCTCACCAAGAGTGACGCCCCATCCGTTTGGACTTCGGTGATAATGAGCACAGGCAACAACCGCATCCGGCGGAATGGTTTCACACCCTGCCAAAACGTACTGGGACGATCGCCCAACGCCCCGGCCTCGCTGATCGAGGCGATGGAGGGCGACCAGAGGCAGTTGGCAGCGCAGAGCGCTGTCCTCTTCGAGGAGGGCCCCAGGAGGGCCGAGCAGATTCGCGCTGCGGCGAACCGGGCATGCTTCGAGCTGGACTGCGACGACGCCGTGAGAAGGGCCACGGTTGGTCGAGTTCGCCCGCCGCGGGCCGTTCGTGCCGGGCCAGCTGGTATTCTACTGGCGGGAGGTGAAGCACGCAAAGTCGAAGCGGCTCCAGGGCGAGCACGGGTGGCGCGGCCCGGCCATTGTGCTGGCGGCCGAGGGCCGCGCCAGGCTGCGCTTCAGCTACCGTGGGGAGCCGGTGCTCATGACGCCCGAGCAGGTGCGGCATGCCCCTCGCGGTGCAGCTGAGATGGTGGAAAACGAGGACCTCGTCAGGCAGCTGTCGCAGTGGCGCGGAGGGCGTGCCCTCCAGATGTTCTTCGTGGACGAGCGCGGGCCTGGGCCTGACGGGAGTGGCGGCCGACGCACCATGCGTCGCAAGAAGGACGACGGCGACTTAGACAACGAGAGCGCCACGGGCGACGCGCCGGCGACCAAGACGCCACGGGCCGAAGAAGCTCCACCGCCTCCTCCGAGGAGGTCCGAGGCTACCCCCAAGCGGGAGAAGCAGACTGAGGAGGAGGATGCGCCTGGACCTGGAGTGCTACCCGAAGTACCACCACTACCTGGAGATGGACGCGGCATGCAAGACGTCAATGATGAAGATGCACCCCGAGACGGACATGACATGCAAAATGTTATGGCTAACGACCCACCTGTGCCAAATGCAGCTGGGCAGGGGCGTGCCACGGACCTAGACGCGGCAGCTGTGCCATGAGCTTCGCTGCAACAGTCTAAGCAAGAGGGGCAGCCAGAACCTGCGCCACAACCTGGCCTTCGAGGGTCTTTCTACAAACGATCACTACCTGACGATTTCGAAGCGGATCGCGAACGACCCCGAGGGCGTCGCGAAGCTCTCATGCAGAGTCGTCTCCCGAGGATCGAGGACGACGAGATGGATGACGAAGTTCTCTTCCTCAAGGTGAAGAATCGTTCGAGGGGCGCACTTGTGGCAAGGAGGACTGACGCCACGAAGAAGCAGGTTGCCCAAAAGAAAGGTCGGGAACTTGGCAGCATCCCGCCAGAATGGAAGACGGCATTCGATGCGAGCGACCTGGAGGAATGGCGTACATGGATTCAGTGCGACGCTGTGGAGTGGCCGAGTGAAGAGGATCTTATGGGCGTCGAGAAGGCGGAAATCCTGCCCATGCAGCGCGTCCGCACTGACAAGAATGAGTCTACGAGGGGAATTCTCTCGTACGAGCAACACCCGCTGAAGGCGAAGTCGCGGAACATCGTCCCGGGCTACAAGGATGGGCAGCTGCTCGCGGGCGAGTTGCAGACGAACGCGCCAGCGCTCACGGACGCGGCCACGGCGGTGATCATCCAGGAAGCTGCCAGCCAGCCGGGCTGGAGCCTCGAGCAGGGCGACGTAGATTCGGCATTTCTGAATGGGAGATGTCTCGACAGCTCCAGGCGCGTGTACTTCCGCGTTCCCATGGGAGGCATGCCTGCGGTGCCGGAGCTGGGATGGCCGTTCGTCCCGGAAGGAACTATCCTGAAGGCGAAGAAGGGCATCGATGGGTTGAACGATGCGCCTCTGTTGCGGTACGAGGAGCATCGCGACACCATCCTATCGCTTTCCAGGGCTTCGAGATCCAAGCTGCGCCCAGCCCTCTTCATCTTCCACGATGAGAGGGGGGAGCCTATCGGCCTGATCGCGACGCACCTCGACGACGACCTCGTCGCGGGATAGCCCGAGTTCTTCGCGAAGCAGCTGGCCAAGCTGAGGAAGGTGCACTGCTGCGGCAAGTGGCAGACGGCGAAGGTGGGCTTCCACCACTGCGGGCGCTTCCTCAAGCAAAACGACAACGGCGCGATCACGTGCAGCCAGAAGGAGTACATGGAGAGCATCGAAACAATCCCATCTCGGCTGGGCGTCGGAAGACAAAGAGGGCGAAGGGCACCGCGGATACAAGGGAGATGCTCCACAATGGCAACGGCCAAATCCAGTGGCTGGTCCGTTCTACGCGGATGGACTTGGCGTTCCGGCTGGTGGAAAGCCAGGCTCGGGCTCACGACAGCGACCTGAAGGTGCAAGATCTGCTGGACTACAACCAGCTCGTGAGCGATGCCAAGACCGACCACGTGGACAGAACCTTCCAGAAGTTAGACATGGACAACGACATTGTGGTGGCAGTTGGGGACTCGAGCCACAGCAACGTGGGCAAGACGAAGACGACTAGCCAGGCGGGCCTGGTCATCTTGCTCGCGGACAACACTGACGATCAGTTCCTACGCCGGAAGCCTGCTAAGGTTACCCCGATATTGTGGCGATCGCGTCGCATCGAGCGGGTAGTACGGAGTACCCTGGCAGCCGAGACGATGGCAGCGTCGGAGGCGGTCGAGAGTGGCGACATGCTGAGACAGCACCTGGTGGAGTTGCACCATGGGCTGGGCTACCGGACCCACATGGATGACGTGAAGGCGATCAAGATGGCTACACGTACTTCGAGGACTGCATCGTTGACCTGAGGTGCAATGCGCATGCGGCTCGACCTGCTCCCATGCACTATCTCCGTTGGCGGATGATGCTGGGCCAGCGCGAGGACGACATCTACTACGAGAAGCTCGAGGATATGGTTGACTGATCAGGGCTGGACCAGGTGGCGAAGCGTCAAAGGATGTCGACCCATGTGCGTAGGTTGAAGACGATGCACGCACCGACCAAGGAGGCTCTCGAGCGCTACAAGAAGGACTTCACGGATAAGCAACCTGAAGAAGACGGCTATGACCACGGACATCGAAAAGAAAACGAATGCCATTTCGGACGAGGGTGGTGCTGGTGGAGTCAGACGAGACTCAGAATACGGACGGCACTGCGGACCTGGACGACGTGAAGGAGATCTACATGATGGACGCCGCCGGCGCTGAGACCGAGGAGATCGGAAGAGGCGCCGCTGGAGCTGGTACAACGCTGGTGGTGCGTGCGGTGCGCCGGATGGTGGTAGGCCAGTGCGAGTGTCAGCCGAGGACTCGCAAGAAGGCCAACCACGCGTCCCCGCCCCGAATGACGGCGACGCGAGGGTCGAGATTCCATGCGGGACTGAGCAGTTCAGAGGGTCGACATCCAAGAAGAAGACGGTCGAGTTACCAATGAATAAGGCTCGCAGACTACATGAGCGCTTGAGACATGCATCCTACAAGCCCCTGGAGCATGACCTGAGCGACGTGCTGGAGGACGATATCCTAGAGGCAAACCAGCTGGTGGTCGCAGGACGCAGCAAGTGCCGTCGAGATGGTCGCGACACGGAGGAGATCCCGAAGGGCAAGGGGAGCGAGAAAGGAATAACAAGTCATGGGGCGCATGCAGAGTTGGCCCAAACGAATGCGCGCATCCAGCGGGTCAACTCACAACCGTTGGCATCAACCAGTCTAAGGAGAAGGTGTGCTGCCGCCTGTGCGACGCACTGCTCGTGGACCGAGACGCGAAATGGTGGTCCGAGGATGAGGGGCTTCGTGCAGAGGTCGAGGCTATCTGCCTCGAGAAGCAGAAGCGGGAGCCCTTGAGTCGGTCGAGAGCACCAACGGCTGGGCGATCCTCGACGGGAGAAGCTACTACATGACACAGTCGCCCAAGTTCTCGCGAGTGAGCGGCGTCCCCATATGTGCATGTGTCTTGTCTGTTGCTGACTTGAGCCAGCGTCGGCTCGCAGGCGCGCTTAGTCCAAGAAAATAATATGAGTGTGATTTGTCGGGGGTGAAGGTTTGCTTTTCCCTTGTTTCACTGGGCTGACGCGCTGACCTGCAGCGCTGGCGTTTGGGCCCCAGCCAAAGGAGCGCCTATCCCTCCGAGCGGCAGCAACGGGAGATTGGCTGCGATAGCAGGGCATCGGTCGATTCGATCGAATTCTCCGATCTGAACCCGCCCCGACACGCCCAGGCTGATCGAGGGAGGGAGCGCGAGCGAGAACGTCCAACATCCTGGCCATCCCCGCAGACACCCCCTGTAAGCGCAGCAACTGTCGACTACAGACGGGCAAGCACCCCGCCGGTCGCCAGGTAGCCCCCCAAGAAATCCCGCCCCCCCCCAAAAAAAAAAGCAACGTCTCGAGGGGATGGCGCCAGAAGAGAGGCTGGCCGAACACTGGGCGACGCTGTCGGCCATCATCTCTGTCGGTGCACTCGCGCGCGCCGGGGCCCGAGCAGCGGCGATCTCCCTCGCTGCCGAGACGGCTCCACATTTAAAAAGTTCACTACGCGATTGAGTGAACAGTGCATGCAGCCTTCGTCAACCTGCGGCGAACGCTCCTCCTCCTCCTCCTCCTCCTCCTCCTTCTGCTGCTGCTGCTCCTCCTGCTCGTCCTCCTCCTCCTCCGCGTCCTCCCGCTGGTCGCCGTCGCGGTGCTGCTGCTGGTGGTGGGCCTGCGGGTCTCCGTCGTGGCGCTGGGGCGAGGTTGCGCGGTTGGTCGTGGTCACGGTGGTGCTGGCAGTGGTGGCCGTCGGGGTGGTGGTGCTGCTGGTTGTTGTCGTCGTCGTCGTGGCGTTGCTGCTGGTGGCGATACAAGTCGCATTCGCTGGATTGCCGTTGGTCGCCGTCGCGTTGCTGCTGGTCGCAGTCGCGGTGGTGGAGCTGTTGGTCGTGCTCGTGGCTGTGGTTTTGCTTGTCGTAGTCGTGACGCTTCTGGTCGCTGTCGTGGTGGTGCTGCTGCTGGTCGCAGTCGTGGCGCAACTGCTGGTCGCGGTCGTCGTGGCGCTGCTGGTCGTCGTCGTGTTGTCGGTTTGCTGTTGGCAGCGGAGCCGCCGTCCTCTTCGGCCGCCTCCTTCGCCGCCTCGTCGATCTCCTCCTCTTCTTCATCGCCCTCTCCCCTCCTGCTCGTCCTCCTCGCCCGCCGCCTCTGCCTCCTCCTCCTCCTTCTCTTCCTCCTCCTCGCCCTCCTGCTGGTCGCCTTCACGGCCTTGCTGGCGGTGGCGGTCCTGCTGTTCGTCGTCGTGGCGCTGGGGTGCGGCCGCGCGGTTGGTCGCAGTCGTGGTGGCGTTGCTGGTCGCAGTGGTGGTGGTGGTGGTGGTGGTGGTGGTGGTGGTGGTGTTGCTGGTTGCAGTCGTCGTGGTGGTGCTGCTGGTGGCGGTGCAGGTCGCAGTCGCCAGGTTGATGGTGGTCGCCGTCGTGGTGCTTCTGGTCGCAGTCGCGGTGGTGGAGCTGTTGGTCGTGCTCGTGGTTGTGGATGTGTTTATGCTTGTCGTAGTCGTGGCCCTTCTGGTCGCTGTCGTGGTGGTGCCGTTGTTGGTCGCGGTCGTGGTGCGTCTGCTGGCCGCGGTCGCGGCGGTGCTGCTGGTCGCATTCGCGTTGTCGGTGCAATGGCGCGGCTCGCAAGCTTGGCGGCGCTGCTGGTCGCAGTCGTGGTGCTGCTTGTTGCCGTCGTGGTGGTGGGGCTGCTCGTCGCGGTCGTGGTTGTGGCTTCTGTGGTGGTGCTTGTCGCCTTCGTAGTGGTGGTGGCGCTGCTGCTGGTCGCGGTCGTGGTTGTTGTCCCGTTGTGGCGGTAGCCCTGCTTGTGGTGTTGGCAGTCGCCGTCGTG